GCGCTTTATATTTCCTTCGATGGGTGATGTTACTAAGATGTAATTTCACCTTTATTTATTTTTTAGATTGGTATGTGGAGATGTTGAGGGAAAGTTTGGAAGCCTATATGCTCGTATTAATAAAGTAATCAAAACGGCTGGTGATTTCGAGGTGCCTTTTAAGTTTATTTAAACTTCATTAGGCACTATTTTGCGTCGGCGATTTCTTTGGCAGTGATTTTGCTTCATTTCGCGATTACATTTCGGAATGTCCAAAGAGTATATATTTAATTTACTATTTTTTTAGTTCCTATACCTACCTATATTGTATCATTCATCAGTCATGATGTTTCTAACTTTATTGACAATCCGAACGGATGTGAATTATACCCAAATATTACTTATCTTGGTAAAATAATGAATGGATAAAACTTATTTGATAAGTCTAGGCTCTAAAGGAGTTTATTCCTTTATGTCTGGACTACGCGTTATATATGCCGCAACTCAACCTATCGTCGAGGAATCAACCCCTAAGGCTTATGATTTTGCATCTCCACTTGAAGTTTGTAGTTTAGCAGGAATCGATCTTCTGCTTACTACTCAATGGCCTTTAAATGTCTCAAACAAAGTTCCAAACTTCCCTGCAAATATCAAGCCTAATTTCGCATCTTCTTCTATGTCTAGATTAGCATCTCTGATGCGCCCTAGATACCACTTTGCTGCTTCTGAAGGGGTATTTTATGAACGACCACCCTATCGGTAACATTTTGCTTTATATGCCTATCCATCCTTTGCCATTTTGCTTTAGAAACCACAGAGTGCTCCAAGAGAAGGCTACTAATGTAACTCGCTTTATAGGACTTGCTAAAGTTAAAAATTCAGAAAATCTCAAGGTATGGCTAATTTTCCTTCGCTTGTTGATGCCTTTTCGCACACTGTTTATTATTTCTTTTGTCAGTATCTTTATGCTCTAAAATTAGTTCCTTTGGAACAAATGAAAAGAGAAGATGTGATACTACAACCGCCTGATACGACAGAGAACCCATACATCATGATGGACTTCAAAGCCACGGAGCAAGTCAAAGAAACGGTAAATACATTTTTAGAACATAATTAAATATATTATTAAAGGCTTACTGAGTTACCGGAATTATTATTTCCTATTTAGATCAATACACCACTATCATTTGTGCTATTTTTTCGGTACTTCTAAGTATACATGAAGCCTTGCGTCTTATCAGCCTATCACAAAAATCCCGAGGCTGGTAAATATTTAATCCATTCTTTTAAAATAC